ATAGCCCTGATTTCATGATGCTAATATCATTAATTGTTAAGATACAGGAAACGTTCTTGCTGAAACAAACAAACTGAGCCCTACACCTCATATGGCTCATCTAAGGACTTGACAGTTCTATTAGCTTCCTTCCCAACGACAGCAAAAGCTTCAACGGCAGAATGAGGCATGTGAATCATAAACTGACCACGTTGGTTGAGATCTTCATTGAAAATAAACAAAACGAGAATCATGTCGATTGTCACAAACAGCTCAATGAAATAAATAAATATTTTATTTAGAACGGACTGAAGAATGCGAAACCGCTGACATTCCAAAGCAAAAGCTGCAACCATCTCGTATCTCACTTGGAAACTGCTTATCAGATATGACAACTTAATGGCAACTCGCTGAGACGATGAGCTTACGGTAACAAACAGGGCTGTAATTCTACTTGCAGCCTAAAGCATTGGGGTTGTTCAGTCGGTAGAGCGCCAGATTCAGAACTCAGGATATGGAGTTCGATGCCGGAGCAGGTCACTCGACTTTCTTCCTTCCGATTTAGATAACTGAGTACGGCTCTCAAGGAAAGAAACAAAAGACTACAAACCACCTCTCTCAGATAGCTGTAAATTTTGCCTTTAAAACGTTAAGTAATCCTGGCTGATGGCAAGGAAATGAAGATCAACGCTGCACCATAAGCTTCATGAGCTGAATGTGTAAGGCAGACTGATATCCCACAAACTTACCTTCGTAATTGCAAACCAGTGCCTTGCACCCCTTGAACTTCCTTTGAAGGATGCGTGAATTTACAACGGGCAGCGAGTTTTATAAAATGGCCCACTGTTTCGAGGTTAAGAGCCTTGTTAATGAACGAGTATCAAACATCATATCCTTCGCTATCAAACAACAAGGAGGGGACAGTGATGACGTCAAGGAAAGCCGTTCGACTCCTGAACTTTAGAGGGGCTGGTGCAAATTCCATGTTTCCATGTTCAACGCAATATTATTGATATGCGCTGCTAATTCCCCTGAGCAAAGAATTTGTCCAACTGTACGTCAGTGCGACCAGTCGGGAAAATGGTACCAAGTCGATCACTGGAAACGATGCTGACAGCGTACCCCCCTTTCCTCTTGTATTATACGTGCGCCATATGGCTGCAAATCGCTCTAACTTCTCTGATAGCTGATTAAATCAATACAGGGGTAAAGAAAATGTTACCATTTCCTGCTTGACGAACAACTTTACATATCTGAACCACGGATCATAAAAACTCAGCAAAAGAGCAGTAGAAAACAAGAGAAAATCATAAAAAACGGAAACCGTCTAACTAACCGTCTAACCAGCATTACAGCGCATCAG